GTGTCAATCAGCAGAATCATTGTGGAAAACGGTTTGGTATAACCTGAACATGCACATACCCTATAGCCAATATTTCTACTCCTAGGCATCCATCCATTCGCACTGAGTTGATTTAGTCTCATAGCGACCCTTCAGGACACAGTAGAACTGCTCCTGTAGGGTGTCCAAGGCCATAATCTTTATGGAAGCAGACTGCCTAATCTTTCTCCTCCAAAGCGGCTGACTGGTTCAAACCATTGACCTTTTAGTTAGCAGCCTAGCACTTAAGCACTGTACCACCAGAGTTCCTTACTCCTAAGCAGAGACCTAACAGAAATGCTTCCATTTACTCACTAAAAGACCTGTACAAGGATGTTAATGACAGCACTATTCTTTTTTAAAAAACTTTTTTTTTAAATCTTTTTTTCTTTAACTCTTTAGTGGCTAAGACATTCAACTGCTAACCAGAAGGTCAATGGTTCAAAGCCACCAGCTGTTCCGCAGGAGGAAGATGAAGCTATCTACTTCTGTAAAGATTTACTGCCTTGGATACCCAATGAGGGTCACTATGAGTTGGAATTGCCTTGATGGTAGTGGGTTTAGTTTACTGTAGGCTGGGTGAAAGTTGACAGAACAAATTAGTTTTCCATTCAAAAATTTACATACATTTTGTTTTGTGACATTGGTTGTAATCCCCTCCATTTAATAGTATTCTTCCCACTTCCTCCCTGGGTTCCCTGTTATCATTCGTCCTTTTTGCCTGCCCTTTTCTGCCTTCTCAGCTTTGTTTTTGGGCAGATGCTGCCCTTTCAGTTTCATGTGGTTGATTGAGTACAGTATGTTTCTCCCTGGAATCGTCATTCACTTTATAGGCCTGTCTATTGTTTGGCTCTGGTAGCATAGTGGCTAAAGCACTTGACTGCTAACCAGAAGGCTGCCGGTTCAAACCCACCAGCCACTCCTCAGAAGGAAGGTTGGGCAATCCTACTTCCGTAGTGATACTGCCTCAGAAACCCAAGGAGGGGTCACTATGAGTCAAGGCCGACTCAACGGCACACAACAACAACAATTGTTTGGCTGGAAATGGATCTCCAGGGGGTGGGTTCAGTTCCAGGCTCAATGGGTACTTAAGGACCACTGTCTCAGGGGTTCCACCAGCCTCTATTAGTCTAGTAAGTCTGGTCCTTTTTATGATTTTGAATTTTATTCTACATTTTTTGTTCTCCCTCTCTGTCCAAGACTGTCTAATGTGATCTTGATCAGAGTGTGACAACACTATTCTAAAATCCCTACATATGTATGTGCTTGTCAGCAGAATGACTAAGTCAACTCTGATAAAATTTCAACTACATGCAAAAACATGGATGAATCTCACAAACATGATGTCGAGTGAAAAGACCTTGACATTAAAGGGCATTTGGTATGATTCCAGTGATATAAAGTCCATAAACAAGCAAAATTACTCTATGGTGTTAAAGAACAAGAGAATGGATTCTCTTGTGGGGATGTCTGGAAGAGTACATGGAAGTAGCTGGGTGGCTGGTCATGTCTGTTTCTTGATTAGGGTATTTGATCTGGTTATGTGAGTGTGTTTGGTATGTGAATATTCATCAAGTTGTATACTTAGGGTATGTACACTCTTCTCTGTGTATGCTGTATTCAATTATAAGTTGCTTAGAAAGGCCAAAAAAAAAAAAAAAAAAAGATGTCCTTTTGATCTGGCAGCATGAAGATGATGGGTGATGTCAAGTAAGAAGAAGTGGCAGGCTTCAAGGATCCAACATGAATTCTATTTTTACAAATGGGGACACTGAAGCTGACAGCAGCTTAGAGACTGGCATAGGGTTGCAAAGCTACTAAGCAGCAGAGCCAGGATGTGAACCCAGGGAGCAGGGCTGCCAACCTTGTGCTCTTAATCACTAAACTAAACTGTCCTTTGTCTTTTTTCTGTCCTTTACCTTTGAAAATATAATGTCAATGCAGAGAAAAGCAAACAGTAGACAGGAGTATTAAAATGTACAAGAGTCTGAGGAACTCTGTGAGGAAAGCCTAACAAGTGTAGCCCCTCAAAGCTCTTGTGGCCATCATTTTATTACAGTGACCGTATACCATAGTAACCAATATTTACAAAGCAACTGGGTATAACTTAAGAAAGGTTAAGGATTTTAATACACCATGTTTATTGAGGCAGGGGCAGATACAAGGCATTTTTAAAAATATTTTGAGGTAAAGCACAATAAAAAATCCAAACTCACTGCCAGTGAGATAGCGACCCCTTCTTGGGTTTCTGAGGCAGTATCATTATGCAAGTAGATCGTCCAACCCTCCTTCCAAGGAGTGGCTGGTGGGTTTGAACCGCCAGCCTTCTAGTTAGCAGTCAAGTGCCTTAGGCACTATGCCACCAGAGCTCCTGAGGTAAAGGATAAACTCTGGAAATGCCTGGGAAAAAACCACTTATTTTAAACATTTAATTACAGTAAAATATGTAAAAACCGAAACTTAACATAGGTGGGAACCTGTCAGAGAAGGAAAACTCAAATATTTTCCACAAATAGCAATAGAAAAGGGGTGAGACTGCACCCTGCCAAAGGCAGAAAACTTGTGAGACCTGGAAAAACAAGGCAGTTCTGTTGAGTTCCAGCTCTTACAGGTTTCACTGTATCCCAACTGCTAGAGAAATGAAGTCTGTGTATGTGTGTTGCATGTGTGAATAAGCTCCACTCTTTCATATTTTGGTCTTAGAAAAAACAAACAAACAAACATATCATTCGTCTTTTTTAAAAGCATAGGAATTACTATTTTGTGATTAGGCCAAGGTATAATTATAGGCCAAAGCAGGATAACTTAATATAATTAGTGTCAAAACAATATCTTAAACTACTATATACAAAACCACTATCTGGAGTCTTAATTAGGAGCAAGGGATTACTGTATAAAAATCATTCATTCTGTCAGTTCCTTTAATTGCAAAAGGTAGGAAGGTGTGATGTATACACATGGGGACCAAATGCAAGAATAAAGAATCTGACCTATATATTCACAATACAATATTATTAATGAGTACCACTGAAAAAGAGTAGCTAATAAAGCAAAATGAGTTGAATAAAACTTCTTACTGCCATACAGAACATGTGTAATGTATCTTTTATGATACATTTTTCTCTTAAATTGAGTGAAATATTTCCTGGAAATAACTCAGGAAATTCTTTCCAAATTAAGAAAGGCTTGTTGAATAAAATAGTCTATGAAACCTTTTTCTAATATAAAGTATACATAATTTACAAGGTTGATATGATTAAATCCACAACATACCTATATGAGCCTCTCAAAGGGAAAAAAACACAAAGAATTAAATCATTTGCTTATAGTTACATAAATGAACTCAGAAACTAGTTGCTGTTGAATCATTTCTGACTCATGGTGACCCCATGTATGTCATCCCACCGCCATTGAGTAATTCTGACTCACAGCAATCTATAAGGTTTCTAAGGCTGTAAATCTTTACAGAAGTAGATTGGCTCATCTTCCTCCCACAGAGCAGCTTGTGGGTTTGAACCGTCGACCTTCTGGTTAGCTGACAAATGCCTTACCCACTGTGCTACCAGAGCTCCTTTTATGTGTGTCATAGTAGAATTGTATTCCATAGAGTTTTCAATGTCTGCTTTTTTTGGAAGGAGAATGCCAGACCTGTCTTCTGAGGTGGACATGTATCTCCAACCCTCTGGTTAGCAGCCAAGCACATTAACTGTGCACCACAGAGGGACTCCATTCACATCCATGGAACCAAAATTAAGAGTGAAGCCATCCTATATTTCTGCTAAGATTACTGTGTTAGAGTAATCATTCCCTAAAAATTAATTAATCATTCCCTAAAAAACTCGAAGCACGAGAGGCCCTCCTTGCTCAATTAACCTCCCTTCACTTGGGGTTTTCTCCACTTGCCAAAGTTTCTAGATTCCTTGAGTTTTATTTCACATTCAGTTCCTTCTTTGGTGCCTGCCTCTCGTGACCTCACAAGACAAGCATCGGCTTCTGCAGCCTCACAGCCATGTTCTGCTCAGACGTTCTTCCAGAAAAATTTCCCTTGACTTTTATTTCACCTCTATGCTCTCTGTCTACATTATTCGTATTTGCATGCCTAGAGAATCAAATCACCTTCATAGCATTTCATGATACCTTTGTATAAAATGCATGATTCCAAAATCCATTGAATAGTAAAAGAATTTTGGATTGCATGTAAAAATGACTTCTAAAAATGTGCTCTGAATTGTCTTTATACCTACCACATTTATACAAAGGTAACAAAACACAATACAGGTAATAAGAAAAAGGAAAGAGAAATATAAGCAAATTTGTCTTTCATGTTTTCAAATTTGTTTTCAAACACAAACATTTCCTGAAATGCAGATGGGAAAGCGGTGAATATTAAGTGGATATTTTTTCATGTTAAATGACTGATCAGAAGACTATTTATAAACCCCTGACTGATGTCTGGAGCTGATAAATCAACACCAGGGGAGAACATTTCAAGCACATTTATCATTTAAGACAAACAGCCTACACTGAGCATGATTATTTTTTATTCATCATTTTAGCTCCTCTACATTTGCATCTTCTCAATGTTAATAGTATCTGTAGAAGACTTCTCAATATTTAATGCTCCAGCTCGCCTATTGCATGGTGATGAGTTGAGGTCACACGTGTGAGCTGGGTAGTCAGTTGTAGAACAGAAAGGCTGTATTTCACAGTCAAGCCTCATCCTAGTCTACTTCCTCATAAATACCTGTGGGTGGTCTCAATGTCCTAAAATCACAGAATTACAGTTTTAATGGACACTAAGGCCAAGAGATTCTAACACACCAGTTCAATGACACAGAAGCTAGTCCTTAGCAGAGGACAACCCAGTACCCTGGGCCACCTCAAGTCAGAATTTGTATGACTCACTTAATACCTAGCACAGTCCATGAAATCAACAGCATGAGTGTCAGGTTCAAGGACGGCAGAATAAAGGAGCAGCCTACCTGTTCGTTTTCCTCTTCATCACTACTAAGCTTGAGGTCATCTTCTAGCATTCTGAAAGAAGGAACAAAGAGGTACAGATTCTTAGTTGGTTCCAATAATGAAGCAACTATGTGATCAAAAGGGCAGCATTTGTCAGGGATAAAGCTCAGAACATGGGAAGGGATAGGCAAGCAGGATGAAAGGAAATGGTGAACACAGGGAGGAAGTGGAAAGAACGCTGTTTCGTTGTGGGGATTGCAATTGATGTCAGAAATCAAAATATGTATGAATTATTGAATGGATAACTAATTTGCTCTATGAACTTTCACCCAAATTACAATTAAAAAAAAGAAAAAAAGCAACTAAGTACAGTGAAACCTTTGGGAGCTGCAATTCAATGGGACTGTTTTTCCAGGTCTCAAAAGCGTTCCGCCTTAGACAGAACGTAGTTTACCACTTTTCTATTACTCTGTATTTAGTAGAAAATATTTCAGGTTTCCTTCTCTGACAGGTTCCTGCCTTGCACAGGTTCTGTTTTTCGCAGGTTTTACTTTATCACCTTTATTAGAGCAACATTTCAGTAACAAGTTATTTAGTTTCCTATGTTTGTTTTCCTTGTAGGTGATTTTCCTATGACGCACATGGGAAACAATAGTTTTAAGGTAAGATATGCTGGTTCAAGGATATGATTTTTTAAACAAAGAAAACTAAATAGGGGCTTTTCTCTGTAAATTTTAATGTATTTGTTTAGCACGCTCCATGTGCCAGGTGCTACGCTGTATGCTCTTGCTGACCTGAGGGGCTTTCATGGGGAACAGAAGCAGTGAACAAGTAGAATTCTGCTGAGAGCCTGAAACAATAAACTTGAGTTGTGAGCAATAGCTGCTTATGTCTTCCACCAGCCAAAGGTTTGGAGAAGACATCTGCCCTAACATCCTACTGAGCCAGCAGCCCTCACCTTTAGCGTCAAACCAAATAGCAGGGAGCTTTCTGAGAAGGCTTTGTGAAGACCGCTCTTCAGTAGACCCTCAGCAGGCATAAAAGTGAAAGGTAAAACAAAACAAACAGACAAAAACCCAAACTTTAATCCCTACTGTTCTGATGATAAAACTGTATTCACACCAGAACTGTGGAATTATTTTTTTTTATAAAATAGTAGTTTTCAGATTAATACATTTCAAGAGAAATCTTACCCAGAAGTGTAATGTACCACATGGACACAAGCAGAGCTGCTCTGTTAGGCAGCAGGGAACAGTGTACTTCTGATGAACCCTGGCTCCACACATCAGTTTGAAAATAACCGAGTTGGAGCTAGAGGACTTCACTGTCTTCCTTGAAATTAACTTCCTGGGATTATCCCCTGAAATGTGCCTACCAAAACACAAATAAAAACAAAAAACCCCAAACTCACTACTGTTGAGTCAGATCTGACTCATAGTGACCCCTCCTTGGGTTCCCAAAGCGATATCTTTATGGAAATAGATTGCTCAATCTTCCTTCCAAAGAGTGGCTGGTGGGTTTGAACCGCGAGCCTAATCTTCCTTCTGAGGAGTGGCTGGTGGGTTTGAACCACCGGCCTTCTGGTTAGCAGTCAAATGCCTTAGGGACTATGCCACCAGAGCCTCCTTCAAAAACCAATTACAGACCTGTTATCAACATATTCCTCTATTTTCATAAGTAATTTCAGTGACTCTTGGGGTGAACTGAGGGTGAAGACCTAGCAGGGCAAGTCATGGTCTGGGTTCTGCCCCAACTGTCTGTGTTTTGGGCAAGCCACTTAACTCCTGGCTCTATCTCCCTATCTGTACAACGAAGGGTTATGCTAGGCAATCTCTAAGAGCCATTCCTACTTTAGATGTAATGAGACTATAAGAAACCTCAACTTCCTTTTTGTAAAGCAGAAAAACTCTTCTATTTGTTCTAGAGAATATCATTGAGAAATTTTCAAGTACTTTTTGGTATACCATTTCAGGCATTAGCACAAGGACAAGAACTCTGGTTCCTCACAGGTTACTGCTATACCACCAAGTAGCAAGACAGATCATTCTCCTATTGCCTAAAGTACAAACAAACAAACAAAACAATCAACAAAGCTGTGGAGCTTCACTCCCAATTGCTCTCTTTCTCTGTCAAGTCATTCATTTCCCTTAAACTCAGAAATTCCTACACTTGGCTTCAAAGAGAATCTTGGTGATTTATTAGAGCTTTGTTTGGGAATAACCTAGCAAAGGGGACTGTGTTTTCTTCGTCCTTGAGTCCCCAGTGACCAGTAGAATGATGATGACAGAATTTAACACCAGTTTGTGAGCTGAGCCGGGGTACCTTCCCTGAGACAATTTGCCTCCCAAAAGGCACAAATGCCTTTCTGGTAGAAAAGACCAGGAAAGCAGGACAGTTTCTTGCCTCTACCCCTTACTCTGCCTTTTAGGGTAAACAGCAAACTGCAATTAGGTTTAATCTCAAGGACTGCCCTGTAAGCACTTGGTGTTCTAAGTGTGGGTGGTCCTGTCAGTGGGCAGGCAAAGGGAGGGGGAAGGACATATGCAATCATTTTGAACAACTCACTTGTTGGTCTGAAGTCTTGTAAAGGGTGACTGAGAAGTTTAATCTTTACACAGGCAATACTACGTACGCACAGATCTGACGGCCTCTGTCAATCAGAGCAAGAAACCTCAACATTTCTTGAAGTAAGAGATCTTAGTTTGGCTGCGAACCACTGTGTGACTCGGTTACCACATGAGGCTGGCATTACTAATGGTAACCACAATAGAAAAAAACAGTATGTGAGGTTCTCTTTTAAGGTAGGAGTACAGCTTATTTTAGTTTGTTCCAAGCATGTACTAAATGTGGAAAGGAGTCCCGAGGTGATGAAAATGGTTAACGTGTTTGGCTACTAACTGAAAGGTTGGAAGTTCGAATCTGCCCAGAGGTACCTTGGAAGAAAGGGCTGGTGATCTACTTTTGAAAAATCAGCTGTTGAAAACCATCCGGAGCACAGGTCTACTGTGACACTCATGGAGACACCATGAGTTGGAAATGACTCAACAGCAACTCGTCTTCACATGTGGAAACCCATGTCGATTTGAACACATGCTGCCTCTCACACTTCCTGATCCTGGGCAAGTCATGTCTTTGGTTCTTGGCTTTATCATTTCTATGGTGGGACTCAGCTACCTGGCCATCATTTCCAGAAGAAAAGCAGTCAGGGACTCACCTTGCTTTGTGGATAATAATGATTCTATTACAGAATTTACCTCTTTTATATTAAAAAAATATATATGAGTTTATGGTACTTCTATCTGAGGTTTAAAAACAAAGGATCAAATGAAAAAATATGTTGAAATCAAGAGAGACATCAAGAGAAGTTAAAATCCACTTAAACTTCAGAATATCTTGGAAAATGAGAAAGTGTTCTTTATTAACTGTGACAATGGAAACACTAAGTTAAACAGCTTATACACATTTGGACAGCAATCCCAACGAGCACTATTTATCAAAATGTAAAATCATAGACCTAGAAGAGTCGATCACAGCAGCACTGTACTCAGCCCCCAGCACGTGGCACACTAGGGTAACTGAGGCTCAAAGGCATTGAGGAACATGCACCCTGCCTTCTTTGTTCTGATGGTCACAGGCAGAACCCCCCTGGCTCAACTCCCAAAGCGCAGCGCGGATTCCTTTCTGGGTACTCTAGGGTTCCTGACTTTACACCTGGCTTAACATTCAAAAACGTGCTCTGTCTTCAATGCTGAAAATATTCAAGTGACCTCTTAGTCTGAGGAGTAGCTGAAGTATCTTTGAGATTAGAACTGAACAATGAATGTGGTTAGAGAAAAGAAAAATAATGACACAAAATCATAAGAACCATCGACATTTGGCACGTGGTAAGCAGACACAACCTGTGGCTGCCTCTATCTAAATACACGAATGGCAATCCTACAGTTATGTCCACAATGATACTCCCATCCACTTGAAACAATTTAGTCATTTGTCTTTTTCCAGGAGGAGACTGATATACAAAAAAAAAAAAAAAAATGGTACAGGTATAGTGAACAAAAACAAACAAAAGTATTAAACCAAGAGTCAAAGCATAAATGGAATCTTTGGGTGATGTGAACAGTTAATGCGCTCAGCCACTCACCAAAAGGCTGGCAACTCAAATCCATTCAGAAGTACCTCAGAAGAAAGACCTGGTGATCCAGTTCTGAAAAATCAACCACTGGAAACCTTATGGAGAAAAGTTTTATTCTAACACACATGGGTTGCCAAGAGCTGGAGTTGACTGGACACCAAGTGCTAATTATAAAAGGATAAATGCATTGGGCAGGGGTGGGAGGACTTGCTTTGCCTTTGTTTTTTTGGGGCATGGGGTGGGGGGGAAGGCAAAGATTCTGATGCTTTAAACAAAGTTTAGGACTGGTCATCGGCATGTAAGTGCAGGGCCTCTGCTTTGGTACCACAGTTGGCTCAGCACTATGTGCTCTCACACCCCTACACCATGAGTACCCCAAAGTCTTTCTTCAGCAGCTGATGTCCCCCCTCCTAGAGCCACACACAGGAAACTCTTCTTTCATGTTCTCTTGGCACGTCCCCTTACTGTCTCCCAAACTCACTGCTGTTGAGTCGACTCTGACTCATAGCGACCCCTCCTTGGGATTCTGAGGAGGTATCTCTATGGAAGTAGATTGCCCAATCTTCCTTCTGAGGAGTGGCTGGTGGGTTTGAATCACCAGCCTTCTGCTTAGCAGTCAAATGCCTTAGGCACTATGGCACCAGAGCTCCCCAAGAGCCCTACTAGGTGACTAAAATCCAACTCATAGTACTAGCTTCCACTGTTGGATGGCATGCTAAGCACTTTCTAGACATTACTTCATTCAATGTCCACAGCAGTTCCTGAGGTGGGTACTGTTGGGAGGCAGCAGGCTGAGATGGTCAGAGATAGACCCTGGCGTCAGACTGCCCAGGGTGAATGCTAGCTCTGCCACTCAATGGTCCAGTGACCTGATACCTACCTCTAAAGGTTTTCTGGGAAAATAATTACACAATTCTTGGCAAATGCTTAGCACAGTACT